ATCCTGCATAGACATCATTCCCTTGGCATGACTCCAAGCCCAGACCTTGCAATGGTTTCTGCTCCCGTAAGAGAGGGCCGGCAGCAACAACTTCAACACCAGAGTTCGGGTGCCTCCCAAAGTGCTCTGCTCACTTCTCTGGTGGAGATCTCCTGCTCTGTGCAAGGGGTGTCTGTTCAGGCAACCAGAGCGCATCACAGTAACATCCGATGCCAGTCTCTTTGGGTGGGGAGCCCATACCCAGACTCATGGGCGCTGCAGCCGACAGGAGCTTTTGAACAATATAAACTGGTTGGAGTTCCGGGCCGCCCACCTAGCCCTTCGACAGTTTCAGGAGCTAGTGACAGGCTGCCATATCCTGATCCTCACCGACAATATGGCCACAAAGGCCCATATCAACCTCCAGGGGGGCATCCACTTCAAGTCCCTCATACTAGAGGCAGAAAGACTAGGCCTCTAGTCTTTCTGCCTCTAGGTGGAGGCGCATATCCTTTCCATCAGAGCGGAGCACATAACTGGGATTGCAAATGTGCAGGTGGATTGGTTGAGCAGAGCCACGGTGCACAACGCAGAATGTCGTCTACCCAGATCTGTTCCTGGAGTTGTCCCACAAGTTTGGACACCCAACCGTGGACTTGTTCGCTCACCCGACCAACACTCATCTGCCAAGTTTCTTCACCAGGTTTCCAGTGCCAGGGGCAGAAGGGGTCAATGCTCTCCGCAGCCCTTGGCCTCAGGGGCTGCTGTATGCCTTCCTGCCTCTTCCATTTCCAGGCCCTGGAGAATTCCGGACGACAAAATATCCCTCAGCCAGGGGACCCTGCTCCATCTGGATCCTGAGTGGCTTCAATTAGCCGTCTGGAACTTGAAAGGGATCTCTTAAAGCGTAACAACTTCTCCAGAAAGGTCATCCGCACAATTTAAATGGCCAGAAGGCCTTCCACCACATGTATATAGAATGCTACCTAGACTGCCTTTTGCAGATGGTATCATATTGGACATATCATTCCCATGACTGCTTCAATTCCACAGATTCTGGACTTTCTGCAGGATGGTTTGGACAGGGAACTAATTCTCAACACACTGCGTTGACAGCTGGCTGCTTTATCAACGGTCCTTGCGGGCGGCAATGGCCACACTCTTGGTCATCATTCAAGGGTGCGTAGCTTCCTGAAAGGGGCGTCGAACCTCAGGCCACCCACGGTGCATGGCTACCCCACTTGGGACTTATCCAGCATATTACAGACTCTCACCTCCACATCATTTGAGCCATTACGCACCATCAGCCTTCGACTATTAACTCTTAAGGTCACCTTCCTCGTGGTCATCACCTTGGCCAGGAGGATCTTGGAGCTTGCGGCCCTCTCGGTCTGCAGAGTCCTCTGCATTTTCCATCCTGACAGAGTTGTGCTATGGTTAGACCCCTCCTTCTTACCTAAAGTTAACTCATAGTTTCACAGGGCCCAAGAAATTATACTTCCGGACTTTGCCCGTGGCCCATGGATCCTTTAGAGAGAAAGTGGCACCACCTAGATGTAAGACGGGCTCTCCATAAGTATGTGAAACGAACAGCTTCCTTCAGGAAGACGGAATCACTGTTTGTTTCCTTTCAATCAGCATCTATGGTATAGAAAGTGACTCTGAACACATTGGGTCGATGGTTGAAGGCTTGCATAGCCAAAGCCTATGAAATCCAGGCCAGACCAGTGCCCAGGGGTATCACAGATGACTCTACCAGGAGTGCTGCCACAACCACCGCCTGGGCGACACAAGCTTCAGTCAAAGAGATTTGCAGGGCGGTGACATGGTAATCCCCATCGTCTTTGTCAAGTATTATAAACTGGACATTTTTGCCTCCGCTGAGACGTCCTTCTGGTGGCGGGTCCTGCAAGAGGGTTCACTCAGATTCTGGGACCCTGGACCAGTCTACTTCCCACCCTTGAGAGACTATGCTTGGGCATATCCCATGCTTGGATTCTCCAAGCAGCGTACAGAAGACGGTTGGCTTACTTGAATGTCGTTCTATGTGTGCTGCAGGAGAATCCAACCCTGCCCTTGTGACCAATCCAGTCCAGGGTCAGAACATGACTTACCTTCATAGTTTTCCATCTCAATAGAATTTACCGGCATATTTCCATCTCTTGGACCAAAACAGCCAAGTTCAGTCAAGCAAAGGAGGTGTGGTCAAGGCTTTTTTCTAACTCAGTCTCTGGGCAAATTAACCCATGCTTGGATTCTCCCACAGCGCATGACATAAAGCTAGTTAAGGCTGAAATATATATTTTAGAAGGCAATGCATTTGAGTTTAGGAAAATACAGGGGTTTGATTGTCTATAATTTTGAATCCAGAAGATGCTGGATTTTCTTTATTGACATTTTACATTTTTATTGGCATTTTAGGAATGATTTGAATTTTGTTTAGATTGTATATTTCCTTTGTATTTATGTTACAAATGAATGAGTTCTTCTTTTTATATTGTTTCAGTTTGCAAACAAATTAGGCCTTTCTAATGTGATTTCTATAGTTAGAAATAAAATATGGCTGACCTAAGAACACTCAATGGTAAGGAATGTATGTAGGAGAGGGAGAAAAAGTCATTTGTTGGACAGAGTAAATGGAACCAAACTAGAGCATGTATGTGTGTTGAATAAACCCGGTCATTGCCTGGATTTATTGAATAAACTAACAGCCAAACCTCAGCAAGACACTGAGGACAATTGAGAGACAAGCTCTCTTTAACAGCAGAATTCCTTGTTTAGTCCAGGGAAAATACATTTAGGAGGCACTCTCTATTCAAGGACCACAGTTGTGGAATGGATAGGGTGAGAAATATGGTTTTATTTTGCTCATAATGCAGTGGGGTTCTTGTTTTTGTTTTTTGCTTACTCCTCTGGAGTTCTGTTTCTTTCTAAATCTGTATACATATATATATATGCATATGGTAGAAAACAGATTGGGTATTGCAGAGGAAATGGAAGTATACAGACCTGCAAATGCTAAAAGACACTGACTCTCTTTCTACCATCTAGTTGAAAACAGATCTGGATTAGAGGGCAACTCCGAGATTTCCTCTTGCTTCAAAATAAACTATTTCAAGGTTTATTCAGTTGAGTAGATGAGAAAAGAGTCAAAACATGAAAACAAGATAGTGGGATGAGCAGGGTAGAGTTACTTATCTTGTTTCCAGGCAACCTCAAGGTTGATCTACCTTCCTCCACTATCAGGGTTGGAAGTTTGATGTCATTGGGTATGTGGTGATAGAGCTTAGAAGTCTCAGATTGCCTGTCCCTGGTATATTGTAACTGAATTTATCAAACTTTTTAAAAAAATATTTTCATCTTTCAGGAACATTCTTCCTAATTTCATCTGGCTTGCTATTGTATAGATTACCAAATAATGATAACAGTTGTTAGCAGTAATAGATGTCCCAGCATATTTCCCCCCCAGTTAGACCTAATATTATGACTCAAGAGGGGAAATGCCTGTAGAATCAAACTGAAAATACTGAGTGGTTTGGACTTAACCTTTCATATGTTTAGATTTAGATGTTTAATATATTCAAATATGCCCTTTTTCCAGCTTGGTGTGTTTACTTCTTCCTAATTGTGCCTTTTAGCACTATCCCCTTATCAAAAAATTTTTTTAAATAAGTAAGGTCAGACTTTTGTTTATTTTAAAGTAGAAAATGTTATTGTAGAATGGAAAACTGATTGTCCAGTTTAGATTTGGGGGGAGGGGAGGGAAAGATAAGTGCTATGAACCTGGAACTCAGTGAGTATCCAGAACCTGGTTAGAAACTTGCCTGCAGGTTGTAGCATTGTAGGAAGACATCTGTGTTAATGTATTTTAACCACAAACCTGAAGGAGTCTGGTAGCATCTTTTCTCTCTGACAAATGATATTAAAAGGCATAAGTTAAAAGCATTTAATAAAATTTGTTACAATAGTTGCACAAGATGCTACTAAAATCGAATTTTAGCACTCTAGGATGTATCTTAGTACAATAAGGAAAGCAGCAGAGCAAGTAGTACAATGCTGACTTTGGGGAGTCCATGAACCCACTTGAAATTTTAACTGTGTGTTTTTCTACGGAGTGTGATATGTATGCACATCATGGCTACATGGTATCTATACTTTGCAACAAAATGTCCATTTTCCAGATTTTTTCCTCTTCAATGCCAACTTCAGGAAAGTAAATTAGCCATGTTACAGAAATATACAAGCTAAAAGTTTCAGACATACCACACATCCATATGAAAAAAGAAAAGGGGGAAAAACGCCAGATAAAATACCTGTGCACCACGCCCAAATAAGCTAATGAAAATCGAGCATAGTTCACACCCCAAGTATCTGGCAAAACATTGAGACAAATGCACATCACATCAAAACAAAAGCTCATAGATCATAAATGTGAGGAGAAATACATGCATTTGCAGGTACCCACAAAACTGTCATTTAAACTTTCAGGGTGTGCATTATCACATCTCTTTCTCCCTAGAATGCTTACTATCTGTTTAACTTTTTATATTCATCCTTCTTGGATTGCTAATCAATCAGCAAAAACAGGAACTAAGCTGGAATCACCTAGTATTTTTTTTAGGAGTGTCTCTAGAACTCAGGCATTCTGGGAAGTAACTATGACTTTAGAGGGCTGCCATTTTAGTTTGTAGCATTTGAGGTTACAGTTTTTTTTAAAAAAAATCTTGAAATCTAGACACAGAAATTACAATAAATGTGAATCCTTGGCAGCTTGTTTTGCCCCTTGAACTCACCTATGAGTGCCTCTATATACCAGCATTTTCCATTCTTGGCAACTTTGGCTCCCAGAATGCACAACATACTATGTCATTGAAATACACATTTCTGGGTATTGTCAGTTCAGGAAACGTTGATCTCTGTAGATTTCTTTTTCCAAATCATTTTTGTTCTGTTATATGCCTACTGCTTTTAAACTATTTGAAATATTGTCACTGATAGTCAACTCTCTTTGCTTCATCAAGCAGGATCAGAAAGTGGAAAAACTAATAAAAATGAAAGTAGACCGAACTAAGCTGAAAAAAACGCCCACTGAGGCTGTAAGTACCTTTTTTATCATTTTGAACTCCTTATAGAAATTGCACAGCTTGTAATATGTACATGGCATACTAGAATGAGATTAAAGGGAGAAGTTTGACTAGTAATTTCTTCATTTATTAAATGCCCATCTCATTAAGGGGTGACTGTATGCTGCTTACAGCTAATAACTTCTTTATTACAAATTCTTTAGAAAACATTTTTTTTCACTTGTTTCAGTGTGTTAGAAATAAATAAACTGATTTTAAGATAAGCCTGCTTGACTTTTGATGTATACTGCATCTATCTTGCTGAAGTAATTTCAAGAGCCATGAATTCTGAGTCCCTCTGGGAATAGGGCGGCATACAAGTTTAATAAACAATAACTATAACTTTTGGTCCAATGTAATAGGAAAAGGCTCCACCTCTGGACTGAAGTGCTTCCAGGGTGGTTAGTAGTAGAATTCCCTACAGCGTTTGTTGAATTCATAGTTAGAAGACCTAAAAAAAAAACTATACCTTCTAGTGTAGCTGTCTTGGAAATCCTTTCAAGTGACTTGGATTCACAACCTCCTGCAATGGTCCCTGGAATCTCACACATGAGTTTTCAACTGAGAGAACCTCTAGTACTTGCCAAGGGGATTTGGTCTACCCATCTTCCACATGGGTGGTAGGATTCTCCCATAATGCACTGTAGCTATAATGGTGAAAATGTTGAGAGGAGTAAGGAAATCTTAGTTTGCAAAATAGGTTTGAGGAAATGTTTCTTCTGAAGGTTCTTTGAAGCAAAAATTCCTCTGAAATGTCACACAGGACTTCCTTCCTCTGCAATGGCTCAGTTAGCAGTAACACTGAACCATTCATTATAGGAACTGATATTTAGTATGTTTTGGGAACCCTTGTGAATATTTTTTTCTGGGGTCATTTAGGGGGAACCGGTAAATGCTGCATATTTGACTTCTTAGACATCATGGAGAATAATCCAGGTTAAGAATAGGAGCAAGAGTTAAAATGTATGATTTGGTTTGTTTCCCCATCTGTAAACATGCTCTCTAGTTGTCAGTGTTAAGGCAATGTTCACATAATTTGCAATGCTTAATAACTTTTTCAAGCTTTTCCTAGAGAAAGGTACTGCCCAGGTGCCAAGTTTCCCCCCCCCCTTCCTTTATGACTTAAATGCATGCATCCTCATTGGTGGATTACCAATTTGCAGTTGGTAATTCAATTTAAGAGGGCCAAGTATTAGTATTGCATAAGCTCATTTCTTCTCCTGTACATCTTCCTATCAGTCAGCAAACAGTATGAAACAAGCCTGGAATTCTTTTTCATTTCCCGATTTTGGTTCCCCTTGCCCCCTCCCCAGCTATACCAAATGATAATCCTATAGAGATTGCAGCTATTGCACTACAAGTGAGCAAAAGCTAAACTTCCAATCAATAACTAAGCATGCAACAGAAGGCCACTAATTTACATCAAATTTTTATATGGCCATCCACTTGCAAGCAGCTCTAATGTTGGATGGCTGACAACATTAAAAAATAATCCTAAAATACTGATAATAAAAACCAAAGAATAACAAATTCACCATGGACATATTAATATACACTGACACCTCATAACAGTGTTCAGGCTCAGTGGCTTATGTGAAACTGTTCATTGCATGCCCAAAAGGTGAAGGGGAAAAGGACATTCAAACAATGAAGGAGCAATGTTATACAATGAATTTTATCCTGTCTTTAGCCTGCAGACTGCAGAGCCTTGATAGACAAACTCAAGATTTGCAATGATGAACAGCTGTTGCTGGAACTCCAACAGATCAAAACATGGAATATTGGGAAGGTATGTGGTGATGGCAAATGCATATATTATATATGTAAATATTATAGTGTTATTATTTTGAAGATTTAAAAAAAATCTTATTTACATGTGTTCATATTTATCATAACAAGTAAGTTTGTGACACAACTTATGTTATTTCATCTGTGGTCCAAGAAATAAATGTTACCACCTGGGGTTTCTGCTATTTTATTCTTAAGAAATTCATACAAGTAGTCCTTGATTTATGACTATTTGTTCAGCGCTCATTCAAAGTTACAACGGTACTGAAAAAAGTGACTTACACTTTTGACCATCACAGTGTCCCTAGGATCATGTGAGCAAAGTTTCAGTGCTTGGCAACTGAGATGTATTTATGACACCTACAGTGTCCTGGGGTTGCGGGCTTCTAATAAGCAAAGGTAATGGGAAAAGCAAGATTTGCGTATCATCTACAATAAAAAGGTTCTAAAACCAGATGCAACTCACTTAACAATCACATTGTTTAGCAATGCAATCCCAGTTGGGGTTGTCATTTTTTGGTTCCCATATCTAGTGTGGGTTACTGGTAGTCCTTGCTTGCCAATAATAATTAGAACTGGGAAATCAATTGCTACATGGTCATAAGGTGTGATGTCATGTGACATATGACAACAGTTCCAGCAGTTCTGGTTACCATTGTTAAGCAAATCCTTTGCAGCAACCTGCGGTCACAAGATTGCCATTTCCAATGTGCTCCCAGTTTCCCCATTGACTTTGCTTGTTGGAAGGTAGCAGCGAAAGTCATAGATGGGGATCACATTATGGAGGGATGCTATGAAAGCCACAATTACAAGGACGTGTAAGTTCCCCTCATTCAACACTATCATAACTTTGGTATCTCAAGGAGTCGATGTTAAGGTGAGGTCTACCTGTAGTTTTGTGGATGGGATAACCAACAATTTTTACCCAGAGACCTGTGGTAAGTACCTGTATTCTATTACAGTGTGTATTGTCTTGTCTTCTGAGTGCTTTTGTCTTCTTTCAGTGTGAGCTTTACCACTGGGTCGACCTTCTCGACAGATTTGATGGCATCCTGGCTGATGCTGGACAGACTGTGGAGAACATGTCATGGATGCTAGTGTGTGATCGGCCAGAGAGAGAACAGCTGAAGGCCCTGCTGCTGTCAGTGCTGAACTTCACTGCCCTGCTCATAGAATACAGCTTTTCTCGTCATCTATACAGCTCTATTGAGGTGACATACTGCTATTGAAACAGAATAGATTTGAATAAATAGGATACAGATAAAATTCAAATGTGACGTTTTAACAGGTTGTGGCTTTAATAAGGCACTTTTGTTTGGAGCAGAATTCTTGATACTGTTTTGAATTTGAATTGAATTGAATTTATTGCACTTATATGCTGCCCTTTTCCCCAAAGGGGACTCAGGGCGGCTTACAATCCAAGCCAGGGAAGGGGATACAGATAAGGGATTTATTCTTGAGGAATAAAAGCTGATTGAAGAGTGTAGAAATTAAATAGCTTGCATTTATGTAATTCTTTACCATAGCCATGGATTTCATGTAATGCTAATTTTTCATTCAGAAAGTCTGCATACAGCCCTTATTCAGCCAGTTGTAACTAAATGGGAGTAGTAACTTAAAGCCGTATACTCTCTTCATAATAAAAACAATTTTAATTAGGAATTTCTCTTAATGACAATGCTGCAATCATATCACAAACAAAGGAAGGACAGGAGACAATGTCACACTTAAATGGGAAAAATAAAGTTTCTGTTATTGATTGCAATTTCTCAATATTTTTATTATTTTGTCCTGGCTTTATCTAGCACCTAACAACGCTGTTGGCATCCTCTGATATGCAAGTGGTTCTTGCTGTGCTAAACTTACTATATGTGTTTAGCAAACGCTCCAATTACATCACACGTCTCGGCTCTGACAAGAGGATGCCTCTTCTGTCTCGGCTGCAGCATTTGGCAGAGGTAAGCGGCTACAAAAGGAGAACAAGCATGGTCTGGTACCTAATTTACCTAATGATAACTTTTGAAACTTTAATTATGGCTCAGTATATTAAATACCAATAACATTACTATTTTAAGGGTTGGAAGTGTCCATTATTGAGGAAAATCTTCTGAATCAGAAGGAAGGATATTGTAGGGATTTATTTCATTTGTGTCATCTGACACATTTTACCTTTTTGGTGCTATAGCTATAATGTGGACTCTTTCACACTTGGGCAAATGAGGCAATAAAGAATTAACCCATGACAGACAGATCATAGACCAGAGTAAATATAATTTGCTAGAGTAGGGAATGGCAACCCAATCCAGCATTCTGCCAAGAAAAGTAAGACATTCACAATCAAAACTTTGTCAGCATAATATTGGAAAATGATCCCCTGGTCGGAAGATCTCCTGTATTTAGATTTAGAACTTTCCTTTGCAGAAAATGTGTTTATTGAATAAAATTAGCTCTTTGCCTAAACAAAACTTCATAAAGAGCTCAACAAAGAATCTGCCACTCCATCTTCATCTTAAGTTTCACCACCAGGTATCTAGTGACCTTCTAGGGAAGATCAGAGGGCAGATACGTATAGCACTGGTGCTTGTGATGTGGCAACAATAAAGCTAAAAAGATGTTTAGCTCTTGTTATGGGCAGGGGCAAAAGAACATTTTAATGTGAAAAAATAGGCACATCATTAATATGCAAAATATCAGGGTCACAAACCAAGGTTACTTAATGTCAGAGAGAAAGTGTCAAGATTTGAACATTGATACTCCGTGGACTGAAATGGACTAGATGAGGGCACTGCATGTCAAGAGAGTGTCCGATCTGCAGATAAGAAAATCTTACCAGATGGAGTAGCCATCATTGCTAACCAAAGTCAGAATCAATGTTTGAATGCAACTGCCAAAATGACTGGATGAACTCAAGTTAAATCCTATGCAAGCTGATCAGTATTACAGTTATCCAAGTCTGTATTCCAACCACAGAATCAGAGGAATTGAATGTTCATTCCGTTATTCTGTATACTGATAAGATTCACAATATATCAATGCAACATAAAAAGTCATATTAAATGTAAAAAGTTAGAAGTAAAATAGCATCTGGAAAATGTGGGAAATTGGTTTCTGTGATCAGAATAAAACAGAAAGCAGTTCTGCCAAGAAAGCAGTTATCTTCCACCAACAACTTAAACAACTCTACACAGGATAGATAACACCAAAATAAATTAACAATATGCTTTGTAAGCAATGATACAGCAGGTTTCTTTGGTCAGCAAAACGAAGTCCTGGCACCAACTGAACTCACAAACTCCTTACAAAATTACAATTTAAAGGAAAGACTAAAATTGGGACATTGACAGGGTATAATGTGAGCCATATCATTATGATTATATGGGAAAAATAGGTTTAATGGATCAGATTTGATACAATCAGAAGTTTAAGACTCATTAACATAATTAAAAATCCAAGTCAATAAAAGAATTCCAAATAATGTTTAGCTGATACACTAAAAATAGCTGAAGAAAGAAAGAAAGCAAAAAACAAGGAAAATCAGCTAAACTAAACACTGAATTTCCGAGAGCAAGAAGAGGCAGGAAGTTATATCTATATAAACAATGTACAGAAAGTTAAGATGATAGTCAAATATAAAGGATATTTATTTTCTCATTTATTAAAGAAAATTTGCAGGAAGCAAGATAGTTTTGTATAGAAATGATCATGGTAAAAGGCAAGGTAAAGATCCACCAGAGATGTGTGTGTGGAGGGGGGAGGTGATGGAATTCCAAGGTCAGTGAAACAGAGGTGGTATTCAGCAGGTTGTGACCAATTCTGGAGAACTGATAGTAGAAATTTTGAGTAGTTCGGAAGAACCGGTAAATACCACCACTGACTGTCCCCGCCCACATTTATTCTCTGCCTCCCGAGTCCCAGTTGATCCGGAAGGAATGGGGATTTTGCTGTCACCTTCCCCTGGAGTGTGGAGGGAATGGAGATTTTCCAGTATCCTTCCCCCGCCATGCCCACCAAGCCATGCCATGCCCACAGAATTGGTAGCAAAAAAATTTAAATCCCACCACTACAGTGATACGGATCACTGAATAAAATGCCTGACATTTTGGAAACAAGTTAAATCAGTTCTAGAAATATATTGCTAACAACTAGATGAAAAATCTGTGTAAAATTTTATATTGTGTAAAATCTTACAAAGTGATACAGTTGAATGTCTAAGGACATTCTCAGTCATCAGAACTGAGGAAGCTTCTTGAATGAGAAGCAAAATGTCTTCAAGGAAAAACAAAGTCTGGTTGCCCTTGAAAAAATACCTTTGATACAGTTAATTACAATTATGAGAAAATAGGGAAAACACAGTAATGGCAGAGAGACTAGGCAGTATCGATTTATATTCCAGTAGCAGAATGGGCAGCTCTAAGAAATGCTCAGACTACTGAACAATTGTGCTTGTTTCACATTCGAGTTAAGATAATGGTCAGTACATGGAACAAATATTATCAAATGCACAAAGTGGATTCACAAAAGGCAAAAATACCGCAAAATACTGAAGAAACTTTTTTTAAAAGTAAAGAGGATCCTGAACTGCCCATAATAAGTGAGGTCATATGTCACACTAAACAAAAAGCAAAATCACACTATGCCTTACTATGATGAATGAACCATATACCCAGTGATTCACCAGACTTCTAGTACCTCTGAGGGCAAATGAACACAAGATACCTTTGATTGTAGTTTGTATACAGAGCTTTCATGTTCCTGTTTTTTTAAAAGAGAAAGATTAACATTACTGACTAAAAACGTGGTTTGTCTAAAATGGTCTCCCCGAAATTCTGTTGCATGTGAAATAAATTTTGCATAGTCTCTCTGACAGTTCTGCATTCAGTAGTAGTCCATATTCTTTTATGTTTGACCATGTGGAAAGGTATCTTTCCAGATTCTGGTAGTGTCTTGCTTTGGGAGCCAGGATTCATTAGTGTAAGCTTTCTGAGCATTATCCAGAACTTGTCATTTACTTTTGACAAAAGGGCAATATAAACGAAACATGAGGTTTAAATGAAAACGAACAATCATGACTTTCTTTTTATATGCAGCAGTAAACAAGCGGACCAAAATACTTTTACTTAACCATTTAATATATTGGTATATGCATTTGAGTTTTACTTCTAGAATTACAGTGTTCTTTTTGAATTAGCTCATTTTTAATTATTTCATCCTTTTGTCCTATAGAGCTGGGGTGGCAAGGAGAATGGCTTTGGCCTTGCAGAATGTTGTAGAGATTTGCACATGCTGGTAAGTCTTGAATTTTGACCTTCCCCTTACTATTCTGGCACTACATTTGGAGGCTTGATTAATAGTTGCTTTTTCATGTACATCAGTATTTGCAATTGTGGAAAACAGAGGTGGTCTTTCTAATGGACAGAGTCCATCGGAACATACATACATACATACATACATACATACATACATACATACATACATACGAAATAAAAGTGACAAAGTGGGATTTATAAGGGTTTTTCCATAAGCTAATGTATAATAATAAGGGACTTTGACCCCAGTTTTCACATACTGAAAGTTCGTTTGTTGGTATATGTGATATTCTTTTTTTGAGGGTGAGCAGTGCACAATATAGGAAGTTTAGGCACTTTGAATATTCTTGAATAAATTTTTTTTGGGTGTTCTTCATGTCCCTGTAGCTCTTTTTAATTCCTTGAATTGGTAGAAATCCCACCTTTGCAATCTTAGGAATTTGGAAATTGCTGGAGTTGCTTTTCTAATGAGGAGAATAGTGTTATGTTTTGAAATGGCTGTTCTTTGAGGTGAAGCATGTTGTTGTAGACAAAATCAATGGGTATTTTTGTGGATGAGAATCAGTCGTCTGCAATAGGATGTTTAGCATGTTGTTCCATAGAGAAGTTACATCTTCTTCCATGTTCAGCACAGCTACTATTGTATCAAAACAGATGATTATTTTAAGTCTCAAAATAGGAAGCAATTCATTTTTAAAGAGCACTCTAATTTGCTGCTGTAGTGATCACTGAGAATGACAGAAATGGATGCTCCAAGGAACATTTTTTTTTTCCTGAGAGGCTTATTACCATGACATTAAATGGCATTTTTGAACCCCTTTTTAAAAATTGGCTTCAAAAATTATTTTAGGAATTAGGAGATTCAGGGCTCTATATCTTGGGCATATTGTTCTTCATATTGTTGGGAACTGCTAAAAGTCATTATTTCTTTTTGGTACATCTTTATGTATGATGTTTGAGATATCGGCAGGGGTCCCTTTGCATCACCATGTCTTCATACCTAATCTTAACTTCTTACATCTTAATCCTCTTCCTCCTCCCACTTGCACATAAATATAAGGAGAATTAGTGGGTGGTGATATTAACCTGTTGGCAAGTCCATCAGTTCAGTTTCAGGGTGCATTGTCCTTTGAACCAGCAGATTTTGCTTGCATTCCCCCAGTCCAGAGAGAAATGGATATGATTTTTGGAAAGGGTGTTTGCCATCTGGTGTATTCTGATTCCATACTGTGATCTGTACACAGAAATACCCTCCCAGTGCAACTACACTACACTTTGAATTCTATGCAGAGCCAGGGGCCGAAGTCAAAGTGGACAAAAGGGTGAGTCTCCTACAGACTTGTTCTTGAAAGTTTTTCTGGGAAATGGGTGGGAGCAAGATTCGGCAAACAATTTCGTTGTATTTAAGTACAATGACAATAAAGATTATACTTATACAAATCCACTCACATTAAAAAGGGATATAACCAATCTATAAGAGAAATGGGGAACTTTCTTGCCACTGAGTGAATACTAAGATGGAGGAAGTTAGTTTAGGTATGAGAAGGTATGTTGATTTTTAGTCTTGAGGTTAACAACAATAGTAGGGGTTCAGCGGTGTTGAAACATTGCTTATTTTTCCTCTTATTTGGGAAGAGTTTGCTTTCCTGTGCTGTTTTCACTTTCTAAATGGCCCTGCGAGTATATTTCCATAGTATCGCCAGTTGTGAAAGTATGGATAAAAACTGAACAGCTGATAGTTTTTGATATTATCCCAAATTACTGGAGTACTTCAGTGCAGAAATATGGATCTTTCATTTCCCAGGCAGTCCCTTTGCATACCTGTAAAGAAACCTATCCCTTATTACCCTTTCCTGAAAATTTCCTCTCTAGGTATGGATTTATGGGGTAGCATTTTTCTCAAATAGGGCTGGCCAGCATATTAATCCATATTGAAATATGTCTGAATACCACACAAATGCCAAGTCTGATTGTTAACCAAAGCCTCACCTCTTCTGGTGATTTCTTAAAAAGTTCAAAACCATAGTTGCTAATCTGCCATGTCTTCCAACAAATTGACTTCCAACATCCTTTTGTTTTCAGACTACCAGCAACACACTACATTATATCCACATAGAACAACTTGATAAGGTAAATTAGCTTTCTGTATTAAAGTAGGTTTTTAAATTTTCATTTTTGTACTGATGGCTTCTAAATTGCTGCTGCTTTTTCAATTCAGATTTCAGAAAGTCCCTCTGAAATTATGGAATCCCTCACCAAAATGTACAGTATCCCAAAGGATAAACAGGTACACTGAATAATTTACCAAGGTGATAATCTGAATTTATTGCAGAATGAGAATGACAATAAGAAGAAGCTAAACATACCAGGGAATCTTGAGAAGTGGAGAATCTTGAGCCTCCTTGTAATTGGAATTATCTTTGTGTGAAGGGGCGCTTTATGACTTGCAAATCTTACATTAATGTTCCATTGCTTGTTGCTCATCCTGGCCTCTGTTTTCAACATTGGAGAGAGTGTGTGAATTATCCTGCCTGAGATCAAATTGAGGTCTTTGGGACAAAATATATATATTTGAAACTATACGAGATAGTTGAAGTAAATTATATATTTTTGGTCTTGAGAGTGACAATGATATTTTGGATTTCTTATATGTCAATATATTCTACAAAGAACAGCGAGCTCACAATTAAATAGGTTTTGTTTGTTCGGTATCTGCAATATTGGTTATTGGGGAATATCAGGAAACAGTAAAGAGAGAGATCATTCCCTCTCAATGCAATGATGTAAAGTAAATCCTTGAGTATTCAGAGGAAGGAGTCCCTGTTGGACAGATTTGTTATTTGCATTTATTTTTGCTGTTTATCACTACACAGATATTGTAAATTGGCAGGAATAACATAAAAGGCATCAGCATATAAATTATTGAAAATAATGTCAGTTTCATCCAAATCTGAACACAAGTTGTATAAAATATACATTTGCCATTGTTTGGGGAGAAGGCAGATATCTATGAAAGCAGTTTTGACCATTGCATTCTAAGTCTGGTAAATGGAGGTTTGCTAAATTGAAATTTTTCTTCATGCCATTTTTTTCATACTTTATTCACGTATATAGGGTCAGGTGGTAGTTCTTGATGGTATGTGATATATCTGATTATGTGTGGTGCTTATAAAATCATTGCAATTTAATTTTCTTGTAGATGCTGCTGTTTACACACATTCGCTTGGCCCATGGCTTTTCCAATCATAAAAAGCGGTTGCAAGCTGTCCAAGCCAGACTGCATGCCATTTCTATATTAGGTGAGGATATTAGCAGGTGGATTTTTTTTTTTTTACTCTGAGTAATGCCAGGATTGAAGATGTGAGTTTATGCATAGAGAACAGTAGGTAAATTTAAAATAGCCCTTTTCTGCATTTAGGGAATGGTTCAATTGAGAAACTTAATTCAGATTCTAGGCTGCTTTTTAGAAACTTACCTTGACAGAGCAATTGGGAGGAAAAAACCCAACCCAGAGAAATACCTCAATATGTCTGGCAAAATTTGAAACCGACATTCTTTGACCCAAATGCACAGACAGATCTGGGGACTTGAATGGGAGAAGTTCCCAAGTATAAGTAGTCCTCGACTTAACAGCGGTTCATTTAGTGACCCATTCAAAGTTACATGGTCATGTGATCAAAATTTGATGCTTGGCAACTGACTCATAGTTATGACGATTGCAGTATTGCAGGGTCATTTGATCCCCTTTTGCAACCTTTTGACAAACAAAGTCAAAGGGGCAGCTAGATTCATTTAATAACCATGTTACTAACTTAACAACAGCAGTAATTCACTTAACTATGGTAGGAAAAGTTGTAGAATGGAGCAAAACTCACTTAGGGATATAAATTTTGAGCTCAATTGTAGTCATAAGTCGAGGACTACCTGTAATTCAAGCCCTATGTAAGGAAGTATTCCAAAGTCAAGATCAGTTTCAAGATACGGTCAGAATTTTTTAATTAACAGGCAGTTTTCACTTTTCTTGATGTTGAGATCATCCATGTGGCCAGTCTGAGCTACTAATTATGTACTGCTATAGTTGTAATTGGGCGGAAAAAGTGGGGAAAAATTGAAGTGGTTTATCTGATTTTTTTTACAACTCAAAAATTAGCATTTTGACAGGGGTGTATAGACTTTCTAGCTCCACTGTAAGTATTTTAGTAGTTTAAAGTAGTTTCATAGAGTATATAGTATTCTCACTTGATGCCGGTAGTCTGTGACTTACAATGATTTGTTTAGTGACCGTTCAAAGTTATAATTGGCACTGAAAAAAGTGATTTACAAGCAGTACTCACACTTATGAGCATTGCTGTAGCCTCACAGTCTTATATTCTTACTGATATATGTAAGAGAAATAGTAATTTAAGAACTAAAAGCAACTAATCTGTTTTTGCAAGGTAGCAATGTAAGATGTTATCCCAACCCAAGATTAGTAGAATAATGCAATATGTTTTACTGCAACTGGGTTCAGCTTTCTACAATTCTCTACAGTTTATTGCTAGTTCCAAACAGTTATTTAAAGAGTTTGCTAACTCATCTGAACTTGCAAAAAATAATTCCTGCCAATCAAACATCACATGGTGTCTAACATTGCCAGTGGCGTCTTGTGAAGTTGTTAGGATAACATAGAAGAGAAAATCTGAATAATAAATTCAAAGCTTCCATGTTTCAAGGTGTATAATTCTTGCTCTTCGTTTTTGTTATACTAGGGTGCCCATTTTAATGGAGTTTTTAAATGTTGGTTGTTAAGATCTACTTCATATATTTGCTGTGTTCCTTCATGGCTAAATTTGTGTGACAAAAATATAAAAAACTTATCACACTGTTTCCTCTTTTTTTCCTTGCATTATCTGATAGGAAACGGCTGATATATAGCACCAAAAATAAAGGTTTCTGTTACTATTAAGTAAAAAGTACTCACTCAGTTGAAGTAATAGTTGGATTTGTTTTTTCTCTCCATCCTTTAACTGCAGAAAATTGTTAACTGCCTACCTCTCTTTCCACAGTATACTCAAATGCTTTGCAGGAATCTGCCAACAGCATACTATACAATGGGTTGATAGAAGAGTTAGTGGATGTGCTGCAAATTACAGATAAACAATTAATGGTAAGTCCATTTATTCAGCTGAATTTTGGCAAAGAAAAATTGCTGCTCAATTGGTACTGGACTAGACTGAGTGATTATTGACTTTCTTAGATGTTTCCAGCTTTATTTAATTATTTATCATCAGAAACCAAATACACAGATGATTTAAAGCAAATGAAAAGGGCAAGGCAAATAAAAAAGGCGGATTAAGGATTCACTTTAAAATCTTCTGTACCGTGAGAACTGTCCCAAAACCCAGTAGCATTAATATTTATTAGTTAATAGCCCTTTACAGCAGTTGCAATTCAACTTAGCAGTTCTGGAAGTTGACTGACTTTTTTTAAAATATAAGATTGTATTCTGCTCTTCCAGTGTAACCAAATGATTCACTCCTTGAGGCATTTTTTAATCATGTTCTGAAATTTGATAAAATGGATACTGGGTTTTGATTCTTCTTTCCTGCATGTTAAAGAGTTTTAGCTATCTACTTACTGACCCATCTATCCCTCTCTCTCTCTTGTCCCCCCCTTCCCAAGTAGGGAAAATTTGAAATTCATGTTATAAAATAAGGTAATCACAATCTATATACCTATCTATGTCTCATTGTTTCCTTGACAGGATATTAAAGCTGCCTCACTGAGGACATTAACTTCCATTGTGCACTTGGAACGGACTCCAAAACTCAGCAGTATTATTGACTGCACTGGAACAGCTTCCTACCATGGATTTTTACCAGTACTAGTCCGGAACTGTATACAGGCCATGATTGGTCAGTAGCTGTGCATTTTAGAAGCAATTAACATATTTTTGCTAAACTTTAGAATATGTAATCTAAGGGTGTTCCCTCTCCCTTTCTTTAGATCCCTCTATGGAGCCATATCCCCACCAGTTTGCCACAGCCCTCTTCTCATTCTTATATCACTTGGCGAGCTATGATGCAGGAGGGGAAGCTCTTGTCTCGTGTGGCATGATGGAAGCCTTACTGAAGGTAACATTTTCTGTTTTTGAAGTTCAGTTAGGAAAATAAATGAAAATTCTACACTACATTCTTTCTGATATGCTGATATAAAAGAATGTGATGTGTGGGTATCAGTGTTCTCTGTGTGTATGCACATATCTTTCCTCACTCTTTAAAAAACTTGTAAAACTTGAACACCAATTAAAGGATTTTTTTTCCAAGTTATGTAATTTGGGCTGTTTTAAAGTCTTGGGCTTCTGAGGCAGAGCAGTTAGCTTAGGTCAGATACTCTCTCACATAAAAAGAGCCCACATCTTAAAAGCATTTGCTGATTTTATCTGTCACAATTAATTTTTATATATTACCGTGTTTGCCTGAAAATAAGACAGGGTCTTATTTTCTTTTGACACTGAAATAAGCACTTGGCCTTATTTTGGTGGAGGTCTTATTTTTGAGGTGCAGGAGGTGGCGAGTGTGGTCACCCCATGGCTGTTGCTGTGTTGCAATATTTTCAGGGATGGCTTATTTTTTGGGGGGAGGGCTTATTTTAGTGCATGCACTCAAAAGTCCGATTGGACTTATTATCCAGGGAGCTCTTATTTTCAGGGAAATGGTAGCTATTTTTAAAAGAATTAAATAGGTAGTATTATCAACTGACCAAATAATATACCTTTTACTTTCTACTATCAAAGCTTGTATAATAAAATGCAATAATAAACCCATAGACGTACGGTTAAAATGAAGATTATAACCATTTGTTTTATTTAAGAGACATACGGCTGCTTTTTTATGTGCCATGATTCTGGGTGGCTCACACTAACAGCGATTAAAAACTTTAAAAAGACAGTAAAAACCAGCATCCCAAAAACAACTCTCAGTGCCCTAAACGACTGTCTCCAGTACATAAAGAGTCACAATCACTGGGCTTCAGCCTCACCCTGGCGCATAAGATGAATCTGTGCAACCCCCTGCCCCCCCCATGGCTTGCTACAAATTCCTTAAGTAGTAGTTGCAAGTCATTCCCGCAGTGTTGACTGGTTCATGGTCTTCCCAGATAACTGAGCTCAGACAAGGCTCAGGCATTCCCTAGCTAAAGTTCAACTTTAAGCAAAGTTGAGTGATTTTGGCCCAATAGTTGCTGAGAATATTTCTCATAGTAGCTCTGCAAGTGCTCCCCTGGCCCCTCTTTTCCCTATGGGGTTTGGTCACTGAAGCAGGACTGCTGATTAGCTGTCTGTTGATACAGTAAGACTGGAGCTGTGAAGGTTTTTCACTGCTCTGAATGGCTCTTATCTTTGTCTGGTCAGCTTCACTCTTTATCTTTTACTTTTAACCTTCTAGGCATCTCTTGTTATTTTGACTTGTTTGGTGCCTGATTATCTTGGGGGGAAGATGGTATTTCTTCTAGAGCACTGAATGTTTATTAATATTGAAAACTGGTGTTTGAATGAGTGGGTCAGTCAGTTTTAGATGTATGTCTTCAAAACCTTGTTTTCCCTAGGTGATCAAGTTCTTGGGGGATGAACAGGACCAGATCACTTTTGTGACCAGAGCAGTCCGTGTTGTGGATTTAATCACAAACCTAGACATGGCAGCCTTCCAGTCTCACAGTGGCCTCTCTATCTTCATCTACCGACTAGAGGTAGGATTTTTTTTATTAGAGATTTGGCCTTTTAATAAGTATACTTTTCATTTTTATTAGTGGTGACACAATACTTCTTTGTAATACAATTGATCTTGAAGTCTGTCATTATAATCAAAAAATTACATGTTTCTGTTTCAGAGAATAGCAATTTCTCAACTTTCACATATTATTGTCTTTTTGTAACTTCTTTTCTAGCATGAAGCAGACCTATGTCGGAGGGAATGTCCTTTTGTAATCAAACCAAAGATCCAGAGACCTGCTGTTTCCACTGTTACACAGGAGGGTGAAGAGATGGAGACAGACGTAGAAGGTAAAAACCTCCTAATGATACTAATTTCTTTTATCAACACATCTAAATTGTGCTAAACAAAGAAAATTTAGCAGACAGCATCCATGAAACAGTTTTATTTATTTTAATTGTAACTCAGTATATTTTGCTTAGTGGTTTCAACTAAATACATTTTAAAATGAAACAAGATTGGAAACAAATATATAGTTCCATAACACCATCTCTAAAATTGCATTCTGAAATGAAACAAATCCATCTGAATTGTAAGGTAGAAGATAAATTCCGCACCTCTTTTCCATATGAAAAGTGGTTAAATGCAGCACTGCAGGCTACTGACTGCAGTTCTGCAGTTCGGCGGTTCAAATCTCACCGGCTCAGGGTTGACTCAGCCTTCCATCCTTCCGAGGTGGGTAAAATGAGG